TCATGATCCCAGGGTCCTGGGATCGAGCCCTGCATCAGGCTCCCTGCTCAGCGGGGAGTCTGCCTCTTCCTCTGCCGCTCCCCCTGCTTGTGCTGTCTCTTAAATAAATAAATAAAACCTTAAAAAAAATGTCAATTCTTCCCAAAGTTATCTATAAATTCAATGAAATCAGAATATCAGAGTGTATTTTTATAAAAATTGACAGGTTGGCTCTAAAACTGCTATGGACCTGCAAAATATCTAGGAGAGACAAAGCAATTTTGCAAAAAAGAACAAAGTAGAGCATGTATACTACTTGATTTCAAGACTTTCTACAGAGTTACATAATCAGTACAATGTGGTCTAAGGAGAACAACCAGATCAATAGAACTGATCAGAGAGTCCAAAAATAGACCCTTGTACATACAGTCAACTGATTTTCAACAAAGTCGCCAAAAGTAATTCAATGAGAAAGGACAGTCTTTTCAACAAATGGTGCTGGAACTGGATATCTATATGAAGAAAAATGAACCTGATCCTTACTTCATACCTCCTGCAAAAATTAAACTGAGATAGGGGCGCCTGGGTGGCTCAGTCGTTAAGCGTCTGCCTTAGGCTCAGGTCATGATCCCAGGGTCCTGGGATCAAGCCCCGCATGGGGCTCCCTGCTCGGCGGGAAGCCTGCTTCTCCCTCTCCCACTCCCCCTGCTTGTGTTCCCTCTCTCGCTGTGTCTCTCTCTGTCAAATAAATAAATAAAATCTTAAAAAAAAAAAAATTAAACTAAGATAAACCATAAACCTAAACAGAAATTTAAAACTTTCAGGAGGAGAAAATATTCACACCCTTGGGGCAGATTTCTCAGGATACAAAGAGCACCATTTGAAAAAAATTGATAAACTGGACTTCATCAAAATTTTACCTTTCTGCTCTTCAGAAGACACTTAAGAAAATAAAAAGGCAAACCACAAACTGGGAGAAAATATTCATGATATATCTGACAAAATACAAGGCCGTGTGTGCAGACTATGTTAAGAACTCTTACAATTCAGTAGCAAAGGAAACAATTCAAACTTAAAATGGATAGAAGGCTTGAACAGATACCTCACGAGAGAAGATACCTGAAGAGCCAATGAGGATGTGAAAAGATGCACATCATCAGGTTATCAGGAAAATACAACTGAAGCAGGAACCAGATGCCACTTCACATTTACTAGGACGGCTAACTAAAATCAAGCTGACAAAACCAAGTGTTGGCAAGGATGCAGAGACCCTGGAACTTGCACACACTGCTGGCAGGGACGTAAAACCACCTTGAAAAACAGTATGGTGGCTTATTAAAAAGTTAAACATATGACTGTCCTATAACTAGTGATTCTACTTCTAGGTATTTGCCTTAGAGCAATAAAAACATGTCCATTTAAAAAAGGCTTACATAGGGTGGCTCAATCAGTTAAGCGGCTGCCTTCGGCTCAGGTCATGATCTCAGGGTCCTGGGATGGAGCCCCACACTGAGCTCCCTGCTCTGCGGGGAGTCTGCTTCTTCCTCTTCCTCTCCCCCTCCCCCCACCCCGCTTTTGCTCGCTCTCCCTCAAATAAATAAAATCTTTAAAAAAAAAGGCTTATAGGGCGCCTGGGTGGCTCAGTTGGTTAAACGACTGCCTTCGGCTCAGGTCATGATCCTGGAGTCCCGGGATCGAGTCCTGCACTGGGCTCCCTGCTCAGCGGGGAGTCTGCTTCTCCCTCTGACCCTCCCCCCCTCATGCTCTATCTCATTCTCTCTCTCAAATAAATAAATAAAATCTTTAAAATAAATAAATAAATAAAAAGGCTTATATAAAAATGTTCATAGCAACTTTATTTGTAATAGCCCCAAACTGGAAACAACCCAAATGTCCCATCAACAGGTGAATAGACAAACTGTGGTCTATTCATACAACAGAATACTAATCAGCAATAAAAAGGAGTGAGGTACCAACATATACGACGACATGGAGGAATCTCAAAATAATTCTACTGAAAGAAGCCAGACAAAGACTACATACTGTATGACTGCATTTACAGTAAGTTATAGAACAGGCAAAAGTATTCTCTCATGATAAAAATCAGATCGGTAGTTCCCTGGGGTGGGCGTAAGGGAGGGGTCCACTCCAAAGAACATGGAGAAACTTTCTGGGGTGATGGAAATGTTCTATATCTTGACTGGGATATCGGTTACATGAGCATATATACGTTTATCTAAACTTACTGAACTAGTGATCTGTACTAGTTTTCTTTCTTTCTTTCTCTCTCTCTTTCTTTCTTTGAGAGAGAGAGAACTCGAGCTGGGAGGAGGAACAGAGAGAGAAGCAGACTCCCCACTGAGCACGGAGCCTGACTCAGGACTCAATCCCAGGACCCTGAGATCATGACCTGAACTGAAGGCAGATGCTTAACTGAGCCAGCCAGGTATCCATGGACTAGTTTTCATTAAAGAATGAGTATATATGCATTAAAGGCTACAAACAATTGATTTTAAAAGACGTATTTCAGTGTTCTTACAGACCTTTTTTATTTTAGTTTTTCAGTCAGGGATACAAAAAAGTTTAATTTGATGGCTTTCAAGTTATCTTTATGCACACAGCACACCCAAGTAATGTACCTGGTCTCTTAAATTTAAAGCATCAGTTCCAAGCTCTTACTTTACAGATTAGGAAAATGGAGCCCAAGTATCCTGATTTCAAGTTCAATGTTCTTTTCACTATTTATGTTAAGGCTATAAAATCCACAAAGCAACTTACATCACTGCTATTGAAATGTTACTATGCTCAGAAAAAGCAATTAAAATTAACTTGTAAAACACTCCCTGAAGGAATGACAGATTTAGAATGACTATTTTGCAATTCCTAATGAAATAATAGATCTAGGGACACCTGGGTGGCTCAGTCAATTAAGCATATGTCTTCAGATCCGGTTATGATCTCAGGGTCCTGGGACCGAGCCCTGCATCTGGCTCCCTGCTCAGCGGAGAGCCTGCTTCTCCCTCTCCCTCTGCCCCCCCCTCCCTGTTCTCGCTTTATCTCAAATAAATAAAAAATTTTAAAAAATTTTTTTTAAAATAAAGAAATAATAGATCTGAGTAATTAATAATAATCAAAGAATGCTAAAATCATTAAGTGAACTTTATGATAATAAAAGCTCAGGCTGACAAACTCTTGAATTTGCGATCAAGCTTTACATCCTCAAGTAGCACAACCAGATATTAGGATCTTCCTGGTATGATGGAATACGCAGCAGACGGCATCATCAGTGAAGGAGTGATGCCAAAGCAAACAAAAACCCCAAACTGAGCCCAAGTCTAATCAAGTCACTAGATCTAAATACCAGTTCCTAGGAATCATGGAGGATAGGGGAATGTGTTAAATAACAGTGAGGACAGTTAGCAAGACCCAGAATGTGGGAAATGCTACAGGACAAATGACCCAATGTTTCTTCCACAAATTAATGGTATTAAAAAAATGAAGAAGGAGGGGGCGCCTGGGTGGCTCAGTCGTTAAGCGTCTGCCTTTGGCTCGGGTCATGATCCCAGGGCCCTGGGATTGAGCCCCGCATCGAGCTCTCTGCTCAGCGGGAAGCCTGCTGCTTCTCCCTCTCCCACTCCCCCTGCTTGTGTTCCCTCTCTCGCTGTGTCTCTCTCTGTCAAATAAATAAATAGAAAATCTTAAAAAAAAAAATGAAGGAGAAGAAAAAGGAGGAAGTAAGAAGGAAGATGGGGAAGGACCTGTCAGTGATTAAGACTTTACTATTTTTTCAAGTTTATTTTTTTTTACTAATCTTACTACACCCAATGTGGGGCTCGACCCGAGATCAAGAGTTATATGCTCTTCTGACTGAGCCAGCCAGGTGCCCCTTAAAAGATACTTTATTATTTTTTTAAGATTTTATTTATTTATTTGAGAGAAAGAGAGTGCATGAGAGAGAGCACAAGCAGGGGGAAGGGGCAGAGGAGAGGGAGAAGCAGGCTCCCCACCAAACAGGGAGCAGATGCCCAACCAACTGAGCCACCCAGGTGCCCTGTAATATTCTACTTCTGTATTTGAAATTTTCTATAGTAAAACGTATATTTTTTATATCCCCAAGAATTTATATTCATAAACCCAGGCAATCAGGAAGAGGAAGTTTGGGTGCAGTAACATTTGAGTGTGATTTTTCCCTCATCTTTAAAACCAGTGTGCTACCTCTCTGCCTCAGAGACATAAAGGAACTTTCCTTCTAATAGAAAGGGATGCCCGACCAGTGATATTTGCAAATGAGTACTCAGTGGAATATTCAGATACACAGATGGGGTCAAAAGAAAAGTAACCACATACGTTTCTGGCATTGCTGCTGAGATTCTCAGAGCTGATGGGGAGCAGAGTACTCAGCTCCAGGTCTGTAACCATCTGGCGAGACTCTGCCAGCAAACGCTGAAGCTTGCTTGTGGGCGAAAAGTCATCCTGGGAAAACAACACAATGTAAGCATTCAAGAAATCAGGAAGCATTTTTAAATGTTTATAGTTACAAGTACAATGTTATAAACACAAATGTTAACTACCCATTAATATTTCTCTGACTTTACATATTACATATCAAAGCAGGACATTAAATAGAATAACCAAACTCCATTTATTTCTTAGAACCTACTTAGCTAGGGGCGCGTGGGTGGCTCAGTTGGTTAACTGTCTGACTCTTGGTTTTGGCTCAGGTCCTGATCTCAGGGTCATGAGATCGAGCCCCAAGTCGGGCTCTGCGCTCCGCACAGAGTCCGCTTCAGATTCTCTTTCCCTCTCCTCTCCCAGTTGTGCACACTCTCTCACTAACAAATAAATCTTAAAAAAAAAAAAAAAGTACCTACTTGGCTAAATAATTCGATTTCAACAGAACTTACAACGAATTAAGTAACATCTATGTGATAAAAAGAATTATAGGCTAGGGTGCCTGGCTGCCTCAGTAAGTAGAGCATGCAACTCTTGATCTTGGGGTTGTGAGTTCGAGCCCCACACTGGGTGTAAAGATTAAAGATAAAATCTTAAAAAAAAAAAAAAAGAATCCTAGGCATTGTTTAGCTCTCCTAAATCCACTTTCTAAAGCCATAATTAGCATGCTAATTAGTATTAGCCAAAATACTTGCAAAATGTAGCTTTAACACTAAAGGCTTGTAAGCTTTTTAAAATACGTGGATATGTGCCTTAGTTTGTTCTTGTTTAATTTTCAACTTTGGGACCTGAAGTTTTAGCATGACAACAACTCTCAAAAGTACCTAGACTAATTTTTTCATTAAGGAAAGTTAATTCTGGGTGCCTGGGTGGCTCAGTCGGTTAGGTGTCTGCCTTTGGCTCAGGTCATGATCCTGGAGTCCTGGGATCGAGCCCCATGTCAGGGCTCTCTGCTCAGCAGGGAGTCTCTGCCTCTCCCTCTGCTCCTTCTCTCTCTCACTCTCTCTCTAATAAATAAATAAAATCTTAAAAAAAATAAATTTAGGGGAAGTTAATTCTAGGGGCACCTGGGTGACTCAGTCAGTTAAGCATCCGATTCTTGATCCAGGCTCAGGTCTTGATCTTGGGGTTGTGAGTTCAAGCCCTGCACTGGGCTCCAGTCAATTCTAATTTTCCAGGAACAAAAATGATCACTAGTGACCTGGATCTAGAAGATATGTGTGTGCACGCGTGCATACACACAGACACACAGGCACAAACCTAAATATGTATGTATATATGGACTACATAAGCATGCAATGTCATATATTGCCTCAGAAAAGTAGGTACAAACATTGAAAAAAAGGTCTCATGAAAGCTAAAAAAGATAGTAGCTAATACCTGAAACCATACCCACAATGAACAGGGATCCTATTCATCAAAACCTATGCTCCTTTGGAATTCCTTCCTCTTGAGTCCCTCCTCTCATTCTCAAGCAACATTGATCTGTTTTCTGTCACCAGAGACTAGTTTGCATTTTCTGGAATTTTATATAAACACTTTCATACTTTTGTCTGTCTGGCGTCTTTCATTCAGCAGTAATTATCTCGAGATTCACCCATGTTACGTATGTGTAAGGAGTTTATTCGAGAAGTACTCCATTGCATGGATACACGACAGTTTGTCTCTTTACCTATTGATGTGTATTTGGGTTGTTTCCAGTTTTCCAGCTAATACGAATAAGCTGCTTTAAATATTCACATGCAAGTCCCTGTGTGGACATGTTTCCATTTCCCTAGGAGTGGAATAGCTGGGTCATATGATAAGTGTATATTTAAGTTTTTAAGAAATTATCAACGTGTTTTCCCAAATGAATTTCCCCACCACCAGTGAAAGTCTGTGTTGCTCCAGATTCTAGTCAACACTTGGTAGAGTCGATTTTTAACAAAGAGAACTAACACTTATCAGATACCTGTTAGGGGCTAGGCCCCGTAGTATCACATTTAGACCAAGCAACTGTAATGTTATTATTGCATATTTGCACATAAGAAACTGAGGCTCAAAGAAAGTAAATAATTTTACTCAGGTCATTGAGCTAAGACAAAGCAAAACAAAGATCTGAACTCAGATCAATTTCAAAGTCCATTATCTTCCCCCCAAATAACACCAAAAGTAATTAAGTTCACTTGAACTTATTTTCTCTGTGAAAGAGCTGCAATGAAGATCCCATTTATGGTGAAGATACTGACTGGCTCATCCATAATAGTGACAATGTAGTAACAACCTCACTGACCATCAGGAGGAGTGTATTCAAATCAATGGACTACACATCAATCAAAAATCAAAATGAAGAGACTAAGTCTTCAAGTATGGGCATGGATAAATGTCACAAAATATTCACAAAGTTGGAAAAAATCATATTGCAAAAGGATAGAGACAGTGTTTTACCACTGATGTACATTTTATTTTTAAATATTTTATTTATTTGACAGAGAGAGCAAGAGAGCACAAGTAGGGGGAGCAGCAGAGGGAGAGGGAGAAGCAGGCTCCCCGCTGAGCAGGGAACCTGACAATGCGGGACTTGATCCCAGGACCCCGAGATCATGACCTGAGCCAACAGCAGACGCCTAACCGACTGAGCCACCCAGGCGCCCTTATTATTATTTTTTTTAGATTTATTTATTTAAGAGAGAGAGCACATATGAGTGTGCAAGAGCAGGGGGAGGGGCAGAAGGAAAGAATCTCAGACTCCCCGCTGAGTGTGGGGCTCAATCCCAGGACCCTGAGATCACGACGTGAGCCAAAATCAAGACTGAGATGCTTAACTGACTGAGCCACCCAGGCGCCCCCATTTATGTACATTTTAAACATAAAACAACATTATGTAGTGCTTAAATATATATTTTTACATAGGTAAAAGTGTAAGAACAAGCATGAATGCAACTTCAGGATAGTGATTAACTGGTGGGGGGCTGGGGCATGGGGAGAATGGTGCATGGGACTCACACTTTATCTGTAACATTTTATTTCTCCAACAAGAAAAATAAAGCAAATATGGCAAATGTAAACATGTTAAATCTGAATGTAGGTGCACACTGCTAGTTATAGCCTTCAATATATATATACATGTATGTATATATATATCTACCAATCACCTGGAGGGCCTGAGGGACATTTTAACTAGACTTAACCTATAGGAGAATATTTTAAGGAAATTCTGACTTCGGTTAAATGACGTAATTAAAATAAAAAAATTGAAGAATGACCAAAATTAAGCTCACTAAAAGCAGTACTACAGAAGAATTAAAAGTACGTTGGGGAGAAGTTTTGCTTGAATAAACTGGGTATTTCTAAGCAAAACACAAACCTTGTCAGTGGATAATGGTGCCTCTTTGTTGAATAACAAAATCTTAGGTGAGTTCTTTGTATCAGAAGAGGGCTCTGTCTCTATTAATTTCTCATCCTCTCTTGTGGCAGATTTTGAAGAACCCAAACAGTGGGAATGCTGGATGGCAATTAGCTCACTATAAAGAATAAAACCAAACAGAAACAGACAACTTAAAACAGTATCAAACATATTATCACCCATAGTCTTATACTTAAAAGTATCTCAACAGGACCTCCCCCAAAAAAAGTTGTTTTTCTTTTTAATGAAGAAGCTCAAGTTTGAGTAGAACATTATAGATTTGAATGGAATACTTGAGTGGAATATTATAAATTAATGCATATACTCTGCAGTAAGAATTAAATCAAAATTCTTAGTGCAAGGGTTAACAACAGAACAGAGAATTTCCCTCCCCCTTCCAAAAACAAGAAAACAAAAAAAGAAGGATCAAGGGACAGGATCATCCAAAAGGGAGGAAAAAACTTGTGAAAATTTTGGGTTTTTGGTTTGTGAAGTTGATTTTTGTTAATGGTTTTTAAAAGTCTTTTTGTGAAAGTAGAACAGCATTGTCAGCTATTAATTCTTCTGTAAGTCCTCAGTATTAGAGAAGAGACACATGCAGCCACGCGTCTGGTATGTTCTTAAAGTGTGGGCTCAGAGCGGAGTGAACTGCAAAAGCTGTTCTGGAACAGACCAGAGGCACTGGAGCCTCCTCCTCCCAAGTTCCCCGCACCTTAAGGAGAACAGGCTGCCGCGGCTTCTCCCTCTACAGCTAGAGCCCTATTTGCCATACGGAATGGTGGTCTGATAATAGAGCAGGTACACAGTAAGTTCTTATAATCTAAGGAAAACTAGGAAAACATAATTATCTTTTCTGTTTAATCACGTGTTTGGCATGTGCCGTCTCGGCATGCACCTCTGCCCACAGCACAGGTCGTTTGGGTTATTTCAAGCCAGGGAGGTCAAAAGGGTCTTGAAACAAAACTCCAAATTTAAATTTGAATTTCTTTCCTATGTTAAATTTAAGATAGGTCCAATATGCTCTTAAAACTAACAAAGTTTGGGGCGCCTGGGTGGCTCAGTCGTTAAGCGTCTGCCTTCGGCTCAGGTCACGATCCCAGGGTCCTGGGATCGAGCCCCGCGTTGGGCTCCCTGCTCGGCGGGAAGCCTGCTTCTCCCTCTCCCACTCCTCCTGCTTGTGTTCCCTCTCTCGCTGTGTCTCTCTCTGTCAAATAAATAAATAAAATCTTAAAAAAAAAAAAAAAAAAACTAACAAAGTTTTCCCTTAATATATGCGTGTTGTTTGTTCAGTAGTGAACAATGTGCAGCTGTGCCCTATTGATACTTGCAATTATTTTTTTTAAAGATTTTATTTATTTATTTGACAGAGAGAGACACAGCGAGAGAGGGAACACAAGCAGGGGGAGTGGGAGAGGGAGAAGCAGGCTTCCCGCGGAGCAGGGAGCCCAATGCGAGGCTCGATCCCAGGACCCTGGGATCGTGACCTGAGCCGAAGGCAGACGCTTAACGACTGAGCCACCCAGGCACCCCGATACTTGCAATTGTTTAAAGAAAATCTTAATATGAATAGATAACATTTAGTGGGACAACCATTTTTTTTAAAGTTCACAACTGACAGAATAACTATCTGTATGATTTTTAAATGACTCAGGCTCCTCAAAGGGCCAAAGAAAAATCCAAATAATGAAAATACCAGAAAGAAATTTTTATCATAAGTCCTAGGAAAGTCAGTGTGATGATTAAAATAAGGCTCTCAATATAGCAACTTTGTCCTTTCTGTAATTTAAGATCCAAGGGCTAGCTTTTATTTAAAAATAGCAAATTTTTTTTTTTTTAAAGATTTTATTTATTTTTTAGAGAGCGAGCGAGAGAGAAACAGCATGAGAGGGGAGAGGGTCAGAGGGAGAAGCAGGCTCCCCGCTGAGCCAGGAGCCCGATGTGGGACTCGATCCCAGGACCCCGGGATCATGACCCGAGCCGAAGGCAGACGCTTAACCATCTGAGCCACCCAGGCGCCCCGCAAATATTATTATAGCGCCCCTCAACCACAAGAGTTAGCAATTCTAACAATAAGACGAGATTGAATAATGCAGCATATGCTAATAACTAATCCATTTTCTCCTCTTAAAAAAACTATTAACTTTTACCAGCTTGTTACGTAAAAAAATTTTTTTTCTTGCATGATTTTAAAAAATAAGAAAGTTTGGGGGGGCGCCTGGGTGGCTCAATCAGTTAGGCATCTGCCTTTGGCTCAAATCATGGTCCCAGGGTCCTGGGATCAAGCCCCACATCCGGCTCCATGCTCAGCGGGGAGCCTGATTCTCCCTCTCCCATTCCCCCTGCTTGTGCTGTCAGATAAATAAATAAAATCTTAAAAAAAAAAAAAAAAGGAAAGAAAGTTTGGGAAATGTAAAGTGAACAGAAAGGCAGAAGCAGTTGGATATGTAAATATGCCATTGCGGTGGGGGCGGGGTGGGGAGGTGGCCAGCAAAATTCTTATCAGGGGTCTAGGGAGTGTGATCTCTGCATAGACAGCTTATCAATTCACACTGGATCCAGAGGTGAGGAATGCCCCAGAGCAGCATTCTACTCTGTAAAGTGACCCCACTGTTAGTTTTTAAAAAAAAACATATTTGCCCAACTCATGACAACTGGCTTTGTTTTCAAACAAAACCTTTGCCTCAGAAGCTGTCCTAGGTACAAACTCTTCACTGGAATCTAATATGGTCTCAGCACAATCGAAAACTCAACAGCCTACGTGCTGATAAGAGTACCGGGTCTGCCTCAGACACGACTTGTGTTCGCAAACACTGCTCTCCACGGAGCAGCAAGCACGCGGCGGCTACTGCAGCCCCTTCCATTTCCCAGCATCGGCGTCGCCCAGTACGAAATGTTACTAACCTCGTGGCGGAGTTGTATTTCCTTCCACCGGCACTTTCTGAACAAGTACACACAGATTTATGGCGAACAATTCTTTGCACTTTAGAAGGCTTGAAAATGCTCATCCACTCCATGTCAGACATGTGGCCTGGTGCTTCAATGATGAAGTTACTCGGGTGGCAGCACTTGGATTCATACATGTCACTCTCCCCAAGACAGGTTTCATTTTTATGGCAACAGGAGACTCCAGACCTTTCTATGTCATCCTGACTTTCAACATCCAGCTTTTCTGGTTGTCTGGAACCAGAACAGCTGGCCAGGCCCAGGTACACATTGACATCATGCCACTGTTTCTCATCAGATAATGAGGTGGATGTTTCAGAGAGTTGTTTCTCTTCATTCTGAATCCCGATCCCATTACCTTTTGGTGACTTTGCATGGATCTTGCACAATGTACTTTTGTTTTCTGATTCGATCTGCATTTTTCCTCCCAGAGACCAAGACTTTTGCTTCTCCAGTACGTCTTTTGTAAACAGAGATGAGATAGCAATTACACCTTTTTCCCCAAATGAAGTATTACCCTGTCGTTTCTTCTCTTTGCACAGATCACAAGGGCTCCTGTCTGACCGATTTTGCTGAATCAACGTGGTCTCAAATTTTGGATCTTTAACCAATGACTTCTGATTTTTCTCCCTCTTAATATCGACTTTTGGGCGGTGATTCTCAAGGTCTGACAAACACATGTCTCTGCCGTGGTGGCATTACAAAAAACAGAAGTTATAAGATACACTTGATACTGTCACTTCAGATATTTCACCTAAACCTTATTCGTTAAGCTAAATCCTATTAAGACCCATCTGTCTGAAATGAAAACATAAGGGAGAATGTGTATTCTTTCTTCAGAGCCTGATTTCAGCCCAACTTCAAGGAAGTCTCTCTGACCAGCAAGCCCACATGCTCACTTTCCCCTTCCCGTCCTCAACTCCCACCATGCTTACTGCCAATACCACAGTCCTCGTTTTACTGTGTGCATCATCTACTTAATCAGGCAGCAAACTTCCTATTATAACTATATTGTTCACTCACTCTCATGCACATATCCTGTCTTTCAACAGACTCCTAAGTTTCTTAATATGTAGAGGCATTTTTAATCCTCCTGGCACTTTAGGATAGCCTTTCACAAACATTAAGTGTTCTGTAAATACTTGTTGATTGATCTGTTATTTCCTCTTCCTAATTCTGTTAGTTTCACAGTAAACAGAGGTAAAGCCAGGACTGAAAGGGGACAGAGACTCAAGGAACAGAGACACAGTGGGAAGATACAGCATTCACGGCCATCCCAGTTATCTGCTGGATATTTATATGGCGACATACTGAAAGCTGGTCTAAAGTAAGAATGACAGGTGTGCACAAAATGAAAATATATACAAACATGATAAACCTTTTCATAAACTGTCTTCAGGTATTTGGACATGGAGAGTTCGGAGCCCTCAGAAAACTCAACCCCCACCTCCTGGAAGAGCACAGGCCATTTCACACTCTTAAAGAACAGCCTCACTCATCTAGCCCAAGTGTCTCCCAGGGGCAACCAAGTACAGAGAAGGAAATAGCCAATACGGTAGGGGCTTTGGCCTGTGCGAGCACTCCGGGCCGGTGTGGTGTGAACCAGCGGTGGCAGCAGCCAGGGCACAAAGCAAGAGTGTAACACCCCCAGCAGAAGGCCTGGAAAGAAAAGCAAAGCCGGCACAGCAGTCACTCTGTGTGTAGCAAGAGCTGCTCCTTCCAACGGTTCCTGCAACTACTAACTGCCAGGCCAAGGAGCCGCACGGTCACACCTGGTGGCCAGGAACTTCCCTAATTCCTGTTCCCATTCATGACTCCTTGTCACACTTCTGTGTGGAAAAGTAGACTAAATTTAACTGTGGGACAGTTATATGCCTATTAAATTAAACCACACCTCATATATTTATATTTTAACTTTACAAAACCAATTTAGTTCACACACTGATTATAGGTAAGAAAAGGTGTCTCCTTCTATTAACAAGGAAAACAGGAAAATCCAGCTAAAAGCAGAGATCACCCTCAGCTAGCTGAACAACTACTACAGTTATTTATACCATTCGTTCGTGTTTTTTTCTTTTAGGCAACTACCATATCCTATGTATCTTTATTTCCCCATTCCCAGCCCAGTGAGTGCTAAACACTAAACTCTGAGTCCGCATGAAAGAGTAAATGACTCATCTCTGGTTTTTGCTTGAGCTCAAAGTCTTATACACAACAGACACACAAATAAGGCTAATGAATTTCTTTTACCAAATGGCTAAATCAGGATCAGGCTTAAAATTCTAAGATCAGGTCTCATTACAACCCAGGATTATAACAATAATTACTAGCTCATATTTACTGACTCGCTACCATATAGGAAATGATAGTAGATACCGGCCCATAGTAAGTACTTCATAAATAGACTGAATGATAAAATAAAATACAAGATCATACTAATAGCATCTTGCTACGATTACCTGGACTCCAGAACCTTTGATTCCTCCATCTTTGAGTCATATATCTGTATTAATTCCTGAGAATTTTCCACATTAAAATTAAGAAACTGCAGATCACTCTGTTGTTTTACATAAATCTGCCGTAGATATTGATAAATCAATAAGATGTGACAACAAAACTATAATGAGCAAACATTCAAATGCTAAAACAGATCAGTGATAGAGAAATATGCTAAATATGTTTGCTTTTATTTTTCCTATGTTAGCACTCAGATTTGTTAGTATAACTAGTTTCCAAACCTTTCATTACCATAAGCAAGATCCTATCAGCTATGCTAAATATGACATACCTTTAATGTAGTTAGGATTCCAAAAGCACCATAAACAAAAATCGACAGACACACACTTTTCCTAATTTGATGTTTGTTTATAAATGCTTCCCAAATAGTAAGAACAGTATAACTGGGGACATACCTGTCTCAGATTATGCAGTTCTGCATTTGTACGTTCTTGCTTTGACTTTGCAATATCAAGTAACTCATCTTTCCTTTTTTCTCTCTCTGCTATTTAAGAACAAATATTATTAAAATATTTTTCATCAGCCATATCAACACAAACCTTTTCATTTCCAAAAATTTAGTGTTCCAGTAACTTGTTTTCCCCTTGTTCCTGAACTTAAAATTTGCAAAATGCATGGCTGGGAAGAGCTTTAATCTGTGATTCGGACTAGATCTTTCACCAAACTGAAAATTTTCACAATATAATTAATGGTGAGTCAAAAAAGGATTCAGAATTGTATCAACTGTATGATCAAATCACACTGTATGTTTGTATACACAAACACACAGGAAAAGTCTGAGAGCAAATACACATAAGTATTTAAAAAAGCTTTTTTTGGATGGGAGGATTAATGACAATTGTTTTCCTCTCTGTTTTTAAGGGGGGGGCATGATAAAATACATATTACTTTTTTAATTTTTTTTCACATTACATGAGTAACTTATGAATGCATTTGCATTGTAAAAACCCAAACAACATATTACCTCTATCAACAGAAAAAAAAAAATTAACATTACAAGGTATAAAAAAATAAATCATGATTTTTACCAGTATGCAAGTGAGTCTGATACAATCTCACAATCAGGCCCTTCCTATATATTGTCACTGACCAAAGACCAAAGATATTTGTGTTTATGAAGTGCCCGCATAGCAGATAAACTTGCCCAGCATTCCTTTAAAGATTTTCTACTTCTTGGGTGCCTGGGTGGCTCAGCTGGTTAAGCAACTGCCTTCAACTCAGGTCATGATCCTGGAGTCCAAGGATCAAGTCCCACATCGGGCTCCCCGCTCAGTGGGGAGTCTGCTTCTCCCTCTGACCCTCCCCCCTCTCATGCTCTTTCTCTCAAATAAATACATAAAATCTTTAAAAAAAAAAAAAAAAAGATCTTCTACTTCTTGAAAACTCTTCACCTGATAGGTAATTAAGATTCCGAATTCTCTTGAATACACATAGTTATATACTCAATTTTTCTCAGTGCAAAAAGACAGCAAAGAGATAATTTTTTTTTTTTAATCTTCATTATTTTACAAAGACCATCAACACTTTGCTGAAACACGGACACACCACTAACTAGAGTTAGGGCACAAGAAAGTCATATTCTAAAAACAGTTTCAGAACTTGGTAAATGAGGGGCACCAGGGTGGCTCAGTTGTTAAGCGTCTGCCTTCGGCTCAGGTCAT